ACACAACAACTCGTCAAAGAGACAAGTGAAGCCGATCCTTTGACCAAACGTGTGCTAAACAATTGTGGTCAAAATATCGGCTTCACATGTCTCTTGGACGAGTTGTTGCATGGTGCTAAGAATGGCGATACTCACTGATCATGCAGACAATGAACTCCGGACTGGATGTGTTCCTCTAAGTCTTCCTACCAAAATATGACCATGTTGCGAAAACAAGGTAAAACAAAATATTAGAGGTTAAAATATAAACAAAATTGGTTACATTTTGCAGCCCATATATAAAGTAATCGTATATAAAAAGGATGCATAGAAAACCATAAAGTATAAACTCATAGAATCGCCTCGCTCGATGAGAGAGAGGAAGGAATAGAGATAGAAGACAGATGATTATCAGTAAATGATAAACAAGCATGAGTCCTTAAACAAAGACTAGTAGATAGGCATAAATTTCATGGAAAAAATCACGTAGCTAATGTATGAGCTATGTAAATTATAGTTAGGTGGAAATAAAGGGCATTCAAATCAAGAAAATTCCTATAGCAACTTCTTTAAACAGTCTTATTGACTATAGCTTAAATAGGATATGAAACCCAAATCATTAAGATTAATGATGCCAAGAAGAAGAAAAGCCGATAGTAATGGCGAATTTATGAAAATATAGGTCTGGCCAAGGTCGCGTCCGGACAATAATTGCTATCATTATTGGTAGGAGTCAATAAAAAAGTACATGACTGAGTGACCTGGTGATCAAGATTACTACTATTGAAGAGATGCACGAAGATAGAAAATTATGCATCTTAAAGCTCTGCTCATGCACCAGAATATAAATCTGAAGGCAGTTAATACCAAAAGAACAATTCAATAGCAACGAGAGTTATTCTAAAGACTATACAGAAAAGTATTATCAAAGCGGCGATAGTGAAAGAAACAAAGCAAAGAAGTGTCAGAAGATTATTTATAAAAGTCTAGTTGTTAAAATATGCTGAGTCCTGATGAAAAAACCCTCACTATAAAAGGATAAATAGTAGAAGGATTACGCAAAATCGCAAGCCAGGTATATGGTGCTATTAGAAAAATTTACCGTTGTCAGGACTAGTTGCCATCCTTACTAAAGAAAGGGACAGTTGCAAAACATGTGGACTTGAGTAGACGACAAATAATGAGATAACAAGAAAATCTTAGAACAGTCGAAAAAGGTTTCGTACAATTTAAAATCTTTCTTTAAGCATAAGTTCAAAAATATGAAGGTTAATAAAGCAAAATACTGCCATACAAACTGATTATCAACTTATCTGATATACTACATTTTGTATGCCCTTAGATGTACAAGGAAAAATTCAGATGAATATTTAATTTGTCATTTTGTTAATCGCATATGTTTGATAATTAAATTGCTAGAATACACATTTCACTAGATAGTTTGAATAGAAAAGCTTGTAATGACCTTGTTTTATGGCCGATAGCAACCTAAGAAATGAATAGATAAGCTCTTCCAACTTGAGGTTTTAAATAAAAATTATTCACACGTCTGCTTTTAATTACCCAAATGTACAAGGCTGGCTATGAGTCAAGGCTTATGAGCAAAGTTCATCTAAAATAAACGGATGCCTCCAATTAGCACGACTAAGTTGTTGCCGATTTCGATGGAATTCTATTCATCTAAGAAAAGCTACCAAATAAGACCCAGACGATCACATGAAAAATAGTTAAACGCTAAGAGAATGTCATAAATGCTAGTCTGTCTACAACATAGTAGAGGCTGATGATTGTTTATCGTGCACATTCATGCCTTTTTTATTATCGTTTGATTTCGCAACCAACTCATGTAAGGACACAGAGGTCTCTTTTTCAGTGGGATTACGAAAACAGATATGCAAGCGCATAAATTTCATGCAGATAGCAATAGGTCATGCCAGATATGATTGCGCTTAGTCATAAATGCAAACTAGTAAAGATATTTAAGCATTCAA